GCTTCCCCTACACATATACATATCACAAAATTGACCTTAAAGTTGTATCAATAAGTGAAAATCTATACCAACGCAAAGTATTCATTCCTATATCCTATTCCCCATTTTTCCTTTAAAAACTTCACTATGCTCATTATCATTTATAACCAACCCCATTTAAATGAAAACCAACATTTATAACAATATTTGGGAACATGGTTGTCATTCATTCTAAACTGTTTCCTGCTGATTGAGGGTGATGTACATACCATGGGAAGCATGATAAAACATTGAAACCTGACCAAGTCCTTGTTTTTGTAGTATGTAAGGCTGTATCATCTCAGCTTCAGGGGTACCTGGGTGATCAAACCATATTAGTCTGGAAGAAATCCATAGCTTTTTATTTTCTTTGGAAATACAAGCAAAACCTGTATTTCTAAGTAGCCTGGTCTTAAACTTAAATTTTGAAGTTAGAGCATTTTTAAAATGTTTAAGTTGGATTAATTTAGTAGCATTTATAATCAAATGTATTTTAGCAGTAGTAAGTCTTTCCTCAGCAATCAATTTAAAGACAACAATATGGCATATAGTATCCAGATTCTCTGTATATTTTCCATCTTTATGTGGCTTTTTTTTTATTACTTTATTTTTACTTTCTTGTCTCCACCAGCCGCTCGAGTTCTGTCTGCCGTGTGGATGGACAAAATAATACAGAGACATATTAGGTACAAAACTGCTTGGTCAATGACTAGGATTCTCATCTGTTAGCTCAGTCTTATGTTGTTGTTGTTTTTTGGTTATTGGTTTTTCGAGACAGGGTTTCTCTGTGTAGCTTTGGAGCCTATCCTGGCACTCGTTTTTCAGACCAGGCTAGCATCGAACTCACAGAGATCTGCCTGCCTCTGCCTATGCCTCCCAAGTGCAGGGATTAAAGGCATGTGCCACCAACGCCTGGCAGCTCAGTCTTAATTATCATAAATCTATATATTTTATAAGACTTATCTTATCAGAAGCCTTATTGTCGTACCTTCTTGCTGGTGGATCACATCCTGCCTCTTGAGGAGGAACAGGAAAAAGAGAGAACACTTCCTGTTTCCTTGCTAAATGTGAGTCTCCTTGCTATGTCACTTCCTGCCTGGATCACCACTTCTCTACTACATTCCCCAGAATCCTCTTTGACTCCTAGTCCCATCTAACTTGCTGTCTCATTGGCCAAACAGTATTTTATTTAACAATCAATAAGATAATCATACACAGAAGTACTTCCCCCATCAAGGAACCTTGTTCAATATTCAGACAAATTTAGGTTCAAATCTTGAATGTCAAACATGTTCTTGGGAGTGTTATTTAGCCTAAACTTTGGTAGTTGTTTCTATAGTGAAGGCTTGTAGCTTCTCTATGAAAAGTTGTTTCACGTGCACCTGCTATAGCCACAGATAAATAGTTCCTACAAAAGGCAGAGTAGTGTGTAATAATATCACAGGATGAGCACTGCTTGCCTTCCTGTAAGATAGAGAGGTGAGGCAGACATCTACATCCAAAGCAGCCAGCTTGCTGCCTCCCAAATTCACCTTCCAATTCTTCAGTACTATAGTTTAGTTTCTCTATCTTCCTCTCCTCATGCTACTTCTAATCTATAACTCAAATGTGCCTCTCAAGATGAATCGGAACACATTTTTAAACTTCATACACAGGTTAGAACCAAGGCTGACATTCATGTTTGCCTGACTTTTAGGTGCAAAAATACTTCTTTCTAATTTCATATACATTCATGTATGTAAGTAAATTGATAAGTACCAGGCTAGACCAGGCTGCTGTTGCTGTCCTTTCAACTAGGATACATCCATATCCCATTCAGAACTCCGTGTCTGTGAGATACTTACATAGCTCAAATCTAAGCTATAACTTCATTATTTTGCTGTTTGTGTTACTGTACTCTTGAAGTTCTAATAAAGCTTTGTGGATAACATTTATTCTGGGTATCAAATAACATTCAATCATCTGTACCATAGTAACCTCAACTGAAAACCATAGGAGTCAAATTAATACATGTTATTTACTTCTCTCTTTAGAAATGAAGCCTAGAAGCTATTTGAGCACAAAAGTAGGAGAAGGTAATTCACTATCCATGAATTATTTGAGCATTTTGATCAGGTGAAGTCCAAACAATGACTGAGAAAATGAGTACTGGCTGTCAGTCACCAGGGAATTCATGCTTTAGACTCTGGAACATGTTTCCAGATTCACACATACCTCTGGGGGAATTCCATACTTCATTTTGTTTTCATTGTAAGTAGAAGTTAAAAGAGCTTCTTTGTGTATCTCATTTATATGATATGTAAATATCAACAATAAGTCATTTATAATCATTTTCAAAATAATATATAATAAAATTTGTTATTATAAGACAATTGCTATCAAAAGTATATGTACATCTAAACTCAAATAGCATTTGAAAATGATAATAAAGGATAATCTACATGAATATTCATGAATATCTCTTACTACACCGATCTCTAGTTATTGGCCTAATGTTTACAACAAGGAAGTACATGTGAGTTGGAATTTCAGATAAATATAAAACTCAAAAATCAATAATCCCACCTTAAAAATAACTTACGGGATGAAGGCTCTAGGATGGCATATAAGATATTCATCAATCTCATTATCAGGGAAGGGCACTTCATCCAGTAGCTGATGGAAGCAGAAGTAGAAACCCAGAGCTAAACAATGAGCTGAATTCCTGTAATCCAGTTGCACAGAAGGAGTGATGAGCAACACGGTCAGGACCAGGCTGGAGAAACCCACAGAAACAGCTGACTTGAACAAGGAGGAGCTCATGGACCACAGACTGATAGCTGGGAAACCAGCATAGGACTGATTCAGACCTGAACGTGGGTGTTAGTGAGGAGGCCTCAGCAATCTATGGGGCCTCTGGTAGTAGGTCAGTATTTATCCCTAGAATACAAAGGACTTTGGGAGCCCATTCCATATAGAGGGATACTTTCTCAGCCTAGACACACGGGAGAGGGCCTAGGTCCTGCTACAAATGATATGACAGACTCTGAAGATCCCCCATTGAAGGCCTCACTCTCCAGGTGGAGCAGAAATGGGACTGGATAGGTATTTAGTGGGGGGCAGGGGAGGATGGGAGGTAGACAGAACTGGGATTGGCCTGCATAACAAGTTTGTTTCTAATTTTAAAAAATAGAGAAAATAACTTATGGGCATTTCTGAAATTATTTTTTCTGGCCAAATTTCATCTACAGATTCATTCACTTGACCTCAGTCTCTCTCTCTCTCTCTCTCTCTCTCTCTCTCTCTCTCTCTCACTATCTCTTTCTCTCTCTCTCTCCAGGTATCAAGTACTTCATGTACCTGGCTTAGACTCCTGTGTGCTTATCCTGTGCTATTTCCCAAGGCCTGTATTCTCAAATGCCACAGACTACAGGATGAGAAGACAATGGAAATGTCTTCTTAAAAGATATTGGCATCCCTTTCTTAGAAGACTCTTAGCTCATACTTCTATATCTGCTGTCTTAAGAAAAAGAACCACACCCTGAGAAATATGCTAATTACTATACAACCTCCAGTGTTGATGCTCACAGGTAGAAACAGGTGCTACATTATTCCTAGAATTAGGAAATTTACATTATAATTTTCAAAAAAATTGTTATTACCTTTCTTCTTTTTTCATGTCTTGATAAAAAAATGAATTATTTAGCCTGGCTGTCCTAAAATCCTGGTATATTCATCTGGGACAGCCTTATACACTTATGTGGCCCCCAATTGCACCAAAGCACTCAACAATACAGGGATCCTATTTGGCATTTGGGAATTTCATTTTTGTAAGATAATACACTTCCTTGTCTGAATCATGAATTTTATGTTATTGCAACCAAAAGCATTGTAACAGGAAGACAATTGCTAGAAATTTGCCACAGAATCCTCATTGCCATAAAGGAAATAGAATTGTATTTCTTTTTCTTATTACAAAAGTCTGTGGTTAAGCAATTCAGGGCAGGTATGTGGTGTCATTAATGATGGACTTTTATCTGCTGGAAGATACCATACCCAACTCTATTGGTTTTACAAAACACAGTTTCAAATGATGTTAGTTAAATAAATCAGTAATAGTATCAACAATATTCAGTGTTAAGAGACACTTTGAAATAAGGCTCTGTCAAGCATAGCTTTGGTAGGAAAACAGTGATTGTTATAGATTATGTAGTTCCAGTACACTAAATTATCAGTAAAAACAGACCTAAACCATTAGGAAGCATGTTGATATTAGTAAATTTTTTAAAAAAATATTCCTGGATGATGGGGGAAGTCCTTCTGTTTATATTTTTTTGGTTGATAAATAAAGCACTGTTGGCCAATAGGGAAGCAAGATAGGCAGGACTAGGAGAGGAAGATTCTGGGAAATGTAGGAAAGACAGAGTCTCCATGTGATCCAAGGAAGAGAGGATGCATAAGGCCGGCTTTCTCAGTAAGATAAGTCCTTATATGGATTAATATTTATGGTTGATAATTAAGGCTGAGCTAGGAAATAAGAAGTCCTAGTCATTGGCCAGCAGCACTCTAACTAATAAGAGACTCTGTGTGTTATTTGCTGGCCCTAAAGCAGAGGCACAACCCAGGCACTGGCACAAAGAGTTACTGTTACACCTGGGTTTCAATCTTCCTAACCCAAAAGCAAAACATGATTGACCTTTTTATAGGAATGTAACCCTATTAATGTGATTTTAGAAACAGCTGAACCAGTAACTGATTTTGAAAGCAAGTTCTATGGTTATATTACAGTAAATAATATTTGTTTACACTTTTCAAGACTGAAAGTACTATGGTTCTTGCATTGTTGGTCTCACTGGGTTTTTTGAAAAAGCAAACTTCAAAGTGCAACATTTCCACCATTACAATACAGACATTGTGTTTTTATCTAAATATAATGCCCAATACCCAGGTAACTGTTCAGTTACTTCTCTCCATGAAGGCTTTTAAGAAATTTGAAAATGATGCAATGGCTACAAGTAGATTAATGAATAGAGAAACATGAAATTGTTGCTTTCTTTGGTGATGCAATAATGGCATACAACTTCTATGTCATTATCCAGGATTTAAAGAATATGAAAGGGGATCACAGACCAGACCAGCGCCATCCACCCAGGTCCCTCCGGGCTTGTCCCTGCTTGAAACAGACACGCCCAGGCAGGGAGGAGCTCCAGAATCTGGATACAGGACACTCTTCCTTCCCCTTCTGCCGACTCATCACAGACCAGACCAGACCAGACCAGACCAGATCTGCCAGGAGGATCCCTATGGAGGCCTAACTCCTGCAGAGTGAGCAGACTACGAGGAGAGGCAAGACCATCCAGAGCTTCGGACATTGAATTCCTGGCCCACACACACTACAGAGTAACAAGAGGAGATAGAGAGATCCTTCCTGCACTCACTGGAAAAAGACATGGGAAGAAGACAGAATAAGAACTCACTCAACAACAGAAAGATCAATATGACACCACCAGAATCTAGGGACTCCACTCCAGCAAGACCTGAAAAGCCCAACATAGCACCTGAAGATGAGATGGACCTTAAAAATTATCTCAGCAAGATGATAGAGACCTTCAAAGAGGAAACAAGAAAATCCCTTAAAGAAATAGAAGAAAAAGCAAGCAAAAAAATACAGGAAATAGAGGAAAAGACAAACCAAAAAATTCAAGAAATAAACAAATCTCTTAAAGAAGCTAAAGAAACCCAAGATAAAACAACCAAACAAGTGAAGGAAGCTCTTGAAACAGTTCAAAGCATGAAAGCTGAATTAGACACAATAAAGAAAACACAGAATGAGGCGATGCTGGAAATGGAAAGACTGGAT